CAAACACTGAAATGTTTGTCATTAATAATATGTACAAAATAGTTTTCTCTTAGAAGAGATGCAAAAAAGCAAGAGTAACTAGCAAATTATATGAAAATATTAAATAAGCAAAGAAGTAGAACACAATCTCAAAATACCCAAGAGATTTTTGGTTAAAAGACTTATCTGCTGAAAGGCAAAAAAGTACCTTTTGTTTTCTTACACATTCATTCAGTAATGTCTTTAAAAATGTTAGCAATAACTAGCCTTGGTGTCCATTTCCAAATTATGCAATGGTTGAGATTTGTAAAGAACATACGTTAAAAGACAAACAAAAGCATCCCGCCTGACCCAGCTGCCTGAAGGTGTGGGCGAGAGGCCAGAGGCTACCTGGTTTATTGTATGCTATGACCAAGCATCTTTAGTTGCCTTTCCTTGTATGGCTCCTGTTTTCTTTTTGTTTGTTGGTGGGTTATTGATCAGTAAGACCAGACAATAGCACCTGCCAATATACCCGCTCTCCTTTCTAAGGATATGCTAGTAGAATCAGCTTAATACTTTACCTGTAGTTTTAGGAAGCTCTGTTCAGAACAACTTTACAAAAGGGAGGGAAGGCTTAATATATGTTCTACTGAACAGGGGCTTTACTCTGCCAGTCAAATGAGAGGTGAGCTAACTAAATACTCTTTTGACTTACCACACCCCTTTTGGACAAAGGGAAAGAAATGCATTTTAACAGAGACACAGATGCGTTTCGAATTTAAAAATTAAAATATAGATTATTGTTTGGAGTCCACATAAATGTAATTATGCCAAGTTCAAATATGTGATATACTAATTAATATATATAAAAAAGCCCAAATAAAGGAAAAGCACATAAGCGATGATAGAACATTTCATATACTGAGTAAAGATGAATATCTGACACTTAAAATTGTTGTTAAAAACAACTCATTATTTCTTAGAACCAAATTCATTGAAATTCATCTCTATAAATCATAGCTATTAGATTTCTAATATAACAATTTCTCATCTTGGAGGCTGCACTCACATTTAACCAAAAGGTAGAAAGTTTACTTGTACTGTGAACAAACTAGACTTACATTTACTTTCAAATGGGAAATGTACATTTAAAAAATCCTTGATTATATTTAAAATATCCTATAAATAAGTAATTTTATCAAGTCCCTATAATCAATTTAAGTACATGCATGTTAAAAATATATGTGTATATTACATACATTAACAGACATTAACTCAGATGAAATGAAACACTCAATGAAATTTAAACACAGCACTTCTTACAACTGAGGGAAAATCAAGTATTAACTAAATTATTTGATGGCTCATTATGATGTATGAAATCTAAAATGACATTATAAACCAAACATAAACAAAATGAATGAGTTCAAAATGACTTGTAGTTAATAGGTGACTTGTGAGTAATTCAAATTCCTGAATGTGTAAAAAATATTATTTCCTTAAGAACACAAATGGCCAGATATATACAAAATTTTACCCCTTATAGTTCTAACAATATTATTAAAATGTTTAAAATATAACTTACATTAAAATTGTTTAATAATCATTTATATACATATCCATTTATGTAAATTCCCAGATACTGCATTATTTAATCTAAAGAGAATTTTAATAAACTTTTTTAAAAAGTAGATGATAATGCATATCTTCATTACCTGTATCTTTTGACTCTCATTCAATTTGTACATTTTTACAATGTAAAACATTTTGCTATTTTTAGTCAGTAAATGTATTTGATGGTAAGAAGCTTTGACAGTCCCTATCACTACCAAATAAAGAAACACTAAAGAGTGGATTAAGGTTGAAACTCCTGGGAAATTAAAAACAAGATATTTTTTCAAAAGAACTGTGGTAGATCTTTAGGTGATTTATATTTCAGTTTGAAACTAAAATACCCCAAATAAAGGAAAAGCATGTTACGTTATGATAGAACACTTCATATACTGAGTAAAGATCAATATCTGATATTTAAAAATATTATTTTATACATGTTAATACATTATATATTTTATAATTTTATACACAAGAAGTTGCAAAGACAGTAGAGAGGTCCCTTGTATCCTTCATCCAGTTTCCCCCAATGATTATATATCTTATAAAATTATATTATATATCAAAGCCAGGAATTAAATATTGATTTACATTAATAGATTCACATACATGGATTCATGTAATGGCCATCTCATTCAAAATACAAAACTAAAGATCTCCCCCTTACTATAGTCACACTACCTCTCTCTCTCCTCCATCCTTAACCCTTAGCAATCACTAATCTGTTCTGTTTCTTTAATTTTGCCATTTCTGGAATGTTATATAAATGGAATTATACAAAATTTGACCTTCTATAACTGTCTTTTTTCACTCCTCATAATGCCCTTGGGATCCATCCAAGTCGATGCATGTATCAATAGTCATTTCTTTGTATTGCTGAGTAGTAGTCCATGATATAGATGTAACAGAAATTGTTTATTAACTGGCCTATTAAGGGATATTTTTTATTGTTTCCTTTTTTGGCTATTAAAAAATAAAGCTGCTATGTACAGGTTTTTGTGTGGATCTGATGTGATTTGAGAAGTTTTCCAAATTAAATTATAAATTGTTTAAAAGAACATAAAATAGGATATATACCCGTCTCCCATCAGTGTGCAAAAACTAACACTAATGATAATACATGCAGCTGAGTGGAACCTAGAGCAATTTTGGCATTTGTCTCCAAGACTAACACTTTTTAAATTAACACAAAGACTACCATGAATTATCTATTTGGCACTGCTGCTTCTAAGTCTATGTTCCTTATTTTTATTTTTTTTAAATTATTGTTCCCCTAGGGAAACATTATAGATTTCTTTTTTTCCTAATTGTTCTCTTTCTTCATGATATTTTAAAGCCACAGACATTCTGGATGTTCAGTTATGTATTATCTGTATATCTGTGCTTTTCACATAAAAAGAGTACTTAAAAAAACACACACACACACAAGAACAAGTTTTCGCCCTTTGTTGGTCATATTAACACCCAGCTGAGAATTCATGTCCTAAAGTCATGAAAACACATCAGTGAAAATAGTCTGACATGCATAATTAGAGCAGGTGGGTAGCCAACTGCTGGAACCTTTCTAAAATTATTGCTCCATTTTCAAACAGCAGTACAGAGTTGACCCCCAAGATTATAACCCTATGTTAGAATTTGGTTCCCTGTGTGTGTGTGTGTGTGTGTGTGTGTGTGTGTGTGTGTAAGGAAGCTTTTGCATGTGTGTATTAACTATACATAAATGTGAGCATATAATAGGAAAATGTTGAAATGATACACAAGAAACCAATTATGAGTAAGAATGAGATTGTCTGAGCAAAACAAAAAAAACAAAAAAATGTAAAACACCATTTTAGTTTTTTCTTTTGAATACAATAAGCATCATTACATTTTAAATGGAAAGTATCAGCCCATCTTCCATTATGTCTAACAGCCATTTATTATTCCAATATCTGAATTATATGACGAGATCAACCAAGAGACATTAAAAGTAAAATGAAACCCTGAGTAATCATTCAAGACATCTGCAAGTATCTTGACAATCTAATAAATAAGGTCTGCCATTGAGCCTTCCTCACTGCAGATAAACACAACCCAGGAGGTTCAGGCATTTACATTGTTCTACTTCCTCTAGGTACAAATTCAGGAACCTAGACAACAATATTTCATACTTCTATACATTTAGCCTATATTATAAAATTTACAGTTGCCTCTGGACTATCTCTTTAAAAAACACAATAAGGTTCAATTATTATTTAATTTTTGAGAAATTACGCAAGTTTTAGATAATTGTTTAAGCAATATGAGAAAATAACAATTTCTAAAACTTGCTATTATTTTCAGGAATCTCCTAACAACATCTATAAAAAATAAATAGAATAAATCCAAAATTAATTTAATTCTCCCAAATTTCAAAAAATAAAATCAATTCAAATACAGTGCTAAAATGAATACATTGTGAATGAAATGATACATATACTTAGAATTTATATTGCACAATGATAACTTCAAAAAAAAAATGTAAAATGCCTCTTATTCAAGTCTTATACTGTGGGTCTGTACCTGCTCACTCTTGACATATCATGCTTTGTCTAGGAGACAGAAAAACTCAGTAGAGGAGCAGAGGGAGGGGCGGGGAGGCACAGAGCAGGCCCAAAGCTATGCAGCAGAACTGAGCAAAGGACTGTTGAGTGAGAGAGGCAAGACATATGGCAAAATAGCAGGCATTTCCTTACCCCTCACTGCTGTTCCTAACACCATTGCTCCTCAGGACTGGGAACAGTGCCACATTTCTCCTTTATCATTCTGCATCTACTCTGAGTGCTCCCTGACACAGTGGAAGATATTCAGTAAATGTTAATTTAATTGGCCGTCTTCATTGTCATCATTTCTGCCATCCTGTGCTGCTTTGGTGCCAGTGAAAGTGTACCTTTTCAAACTGCTATGAGAAGGCTGCCAAGGTTTTTTGAGCAAACCGTATCTCATCCACAGTGTAGTTAAGCTATCCCTATTAAGACCTAAGTTCATCTTTTAGAATCGACTGGATGCTTAACTAATTGTTCAATACATTGAGAAGAAGGAGGCTGGGCACATGAATATTTTATCTTCCAAAGTCAAGCACTAACAACCCCTCTTACATTGTCAGATAATCTTATGCATGAGGAGTAATAAAAATAGCAAACAAGAAAAGAAGCAACCCATATGGCTGTTACTATTGCTTCCAATCTTATTAGGAACAACAAGCCATTTGAACCACATAGCTGTCCCTCATCAGTTCAGATTTACATTTTATTACTGAGTAGGCAGAAAATGTTAACTTTCTATGAGTCCTGCTAGTTGGTAATTTAAGTCTGTATCAGGCACTGAAAGTTTGTAAGTTTGCTACTAAAATGATTCCATTCTACTATACAAAAATTTTTGTAGTATATTTTAAAAATTAAGTGACTTACATTTGCTGAAAGCTGAGATGTGAGGGTAGCAACTTTTTCTTGTGATGCAACCAGCTCTCTCCGCAGTTTATGGATTTGCTGAATGCAATAAAAAAAAAAATCAATGGAATATGCAAGTAGATTTTTACTGAAAACCAATAATTCAAAACAAGAAAGCAAATAACTATATTTAGCTCATTCTAACCCCACTATATCAGCACCAACTCCTGAAAAGAAAGGATATGAACACTGACTCCAGAGTAACAAGCAAATGTCATTCAAAAGGAAAGGGTTATGTGTCAAACTCAAATCTACAAATCAAAGTACGCTTACTTGCTCCATTTGCCATCCCTCAAATGGCAAATGACTCAAGAGCAGTTTATCCTCTGTATTGATTCTTCTCCTTCTAGAAAAACTGTGGTAATAAAACTGTAGAAAAATATTTTCTTTATAAAAACTGTACACACACACACATTTTTAAATTTTTTAGTAAAAGATACTCCATGTTCTTTTTCAGCAAATCTTAGTTTCTTTTTTCCTCTGTACATTTTAATTTCTCATAGTTTGAAAACTTCTCAAAAGCTATGGAATATCCTGCAGTCACTAAAATTTGGGCTTAATTCAACATTTAATCAGTTCACATTTGAAATGTTATTGGCTGGAGATTTAATGACTGTAGAGAAGGCTTCCCAAATCTGTATTATCATGACCTTTATTTAGTGAGTAATTATTAGCTCAGAGATGCTTTATAGCTTATCCACATCTTAAAAATCAGGGGGAAAAAGCAATGATAGGTGCAACTAATTAGATAAACCGATATAATGAAAATTCTAAAGTGTCTTTCTTTTCAGTTAAGTTCATACTCCAATAAAACAGAAACAGAAAAGGGTAAGGATATATTATATCATGTTTAAAGTTTTAATTCAAGCACTTTCTGCAGTTTAATCTGTATGTCTCATGTTGTGACTAATAGGATAGAACATTTATAACAATCTGACACTTGGTTCTATAAGTATATATCTAGTCTCAAGGGATTTCAGTTACTTGGATGTTAAACATTCTACTTTTGATGCTTCTCATTTCTTCAAAAACAAGTCTTCTATAGTTGTAGTTGAACTTTTGGAATGTTGTCTCAGTTTGAAAGAGCATTCTTGACATAGTTTATTAACTGTATAGTTTTTGCCCCTGGGCATTAGATTTTGTTGAAAACAAATGGTGGTCAACTGAAACACCCTAACAAAGTAGAGAACTCTAAGCTGGAAACAGAGACAGTAGACATTTATATAATTTCACCAAACGTGATTCTATTTCATTCCTTTTTTTTTTTTTTCAAAACAGAACACCCCAGTCTAAAATAACATTTGCTTTACATTTATAAGATAATGACTATGAATGATTTCAGAAAATGTAGCATCTATTTTATTCATAAATGAATCCAAACTCAAAAACATTTCTCAAATTAAATAGTCTATATTACATGATTCCAGTATCTTTAAAATATAATCCAGGAAACTGTAAAGTGATTGAAATTGTTTTTTTTAAACCATAATCCATGATAGAGCATCAATGATAAAAGGGGAGTTGAATAACTACTACGATGGCAAATAGATGGAGCATTTCCATGCGTCAGTAGCTATACTATGATCAACGTTAGAAGCTTTGTCATGTCCATGTGATGTAAATAAACCACTTTGATTTTTAAAAATCATATCCACTCTTCAGTTCAGAGATTATAAAGACAAATTGGTTTAATCAATACTTTTCAAATATTTTTAAACATAGCACAAATTTTACTTTTAAAGGTTAATAAAATAAGACTTCAAAGGAAAGGAATACTTTTGCAAAAGCTGTTGCTAAGGCAATTTTTTTCCTCTGTTGTCTGATTGCCTCAGTGTAAACCAATCAAACAGTCATTACCTCACCTTGAATAAAGTCATAATTAAAGTCCTCCTGCTCTCCTTGGCCAGGACAAATGTTTTGCCGAGGGAAATTAAAATAGTATTCTCTCCTGAATGCAGTTTGATTTGCTCATGAGTGTAACCAAATACGTATTTGTGAAATATGTGATTAGAACAATAGCTGCCACAGCAGACATAAAATAGCAATTAGAGGCAACAAGATAATGACACAAAACAGATAGTCTGAGACGCTAGTATCCTGTATTGTGAAGGCTTGGTGCCCAAGATGGTCTCACAGGGAGTGGGGAAAAGACTAATAAAATAGGAAGACCATAGGCCTTCATTTATCAATGATTTAATGAGTGCTTACCATTATAGACAACTTATTAGGTGTTGAGCTAAGACTCAATCTAGAATGTGAGAGGAGAGCTTGCTATACAAATTTCCTTTCATTTTATTTTTAAGAGGCAATATCAAAACCATTTATCAACTAGCTGCCTTACTTCAGCAGTCCTGTGGAGTTCTGCTATTGTATCACAGAGCCCTCTAGTGGTCACAACACTAATTTCATCATGAATGCAAACTAAAATAGTAAATATTGAAATATTGAAAGTTTTTTTACCTCTGAATGAGCCTTTTCTTCAGCCTGTAAAACAATAAAAAGAAAGACTTTAACTACAAAAACTATTTTCAATTAATTCCGCAAGTGTAAATGAATAAAATAATCATGACTTTTTTTTTATTATCTACTATGAGAAGAATGGAATGAAGTACATAAAGTTATTCAATTGAAATAGTACAAACAAGTTACTTTAGAATTTAATATAAATGTTTCTTAATATATAAACCATAAGGTATTTTTAAAATATAGGTCATTTGATCCATAGATATATAATATTCCTTTAAGCAAAAGATAGAATTGAAAGACTCTAAGATGTAAATTATAAGCAACATAAACCAAATAATTACAAAATTATACTCTAAAAAATATGGGTGCATGAAAACTTAAAATATTGATGTATCTTTCTACAGATTGTAGGAAACAGACTTCATAAAATTATAAAGATCTCCAGCCAAGGTTTAGATGTCAGAATTCTATTCTGTGATTTACGTATCACAATGTCAAATAAAGCTGGGGTAACATACAGGCCTCTACTGATAACCACAGATAATTAACATTATTTACTTCTATTTTTTCTTTCTTTAGTGATTATTAATAATTTTAATTATCACAAGTCAGCAAAACGCTTAAACACTGAAAACACAGAAACATCCAGTGATAAAAGTGTCTGGCAAACATTTTTGGCTATGCAGCATATAGAAAGGAGGACTGCCATAGGAATTTGCAGGGTGTTTTTGACTTGACTTCCAGAAAACTCCTAGCTCTGTTTTTCTTCTTCATGCCTGCCTGCAAAGTGCCAGAAAATGAGTTATGTGCACCATTACATTTGGGAAGCTCCCTTATTCTGGGAAAAGCTGAAGAATGCATAATCTTGTTGAATAGTACAAGTCTGCTTATTGCCATAAGCAGATCCAAAGCTGAAAAACAATCTCTTATCTTCTATGTCTACTTTTGGGATAGTTCTAGATTAATTGATACAAAACTACTTGAACTATTTTTTATTGCTTTTCTTTCAGAAAACATAAAGCAAAGTAGTTTAACCACCAGGATATATTTTATTTGCCAGCAACTCTTTTAACCTGAGCTTTGTCTTCCCTATATTTTCTGTACCTTTAAAAAATATGTAAACTTAGTAATATAGTGGCTAAATAATAAAGTGGCTAAGTGGTAGAATCCTAATAACTTTTATAAGAAAACTGCTTTAAAAAGCAATCTTGAATAATTTACATTTCAATTTTAGATTTTTAAGGAAATATTTCATTTTATAGATCCTAATAATTTTAAGGTTTTATACACAGTTTGGTTTTTGAATAAAAAGTAAGCAAGGAATATTAAAAGTTTCATTGCCTTAAAACATATGGCATAATTAACTATGTAACTATGTCTATTAGTTTTTCCTAGTACTTTGTTTTTGTTGTTGTTGTTGTTTTTCTTTTTCTTTTCTTTTTTGAGACAGGATCTTGATCTATCACTCAGGTGCACTGGCACATTCACGACTCACTGCAGCCCACTATGCCCGGCCTATTTTTTATATTTTTTGCCAGTTTATTCTGCCCAATCCTGCTTCTAGGCTTCCTAGAATTATAGAAAGCCGGTAAAGTTTCAAGAGTCAATAAATCATTCCTGTATTTTTTAATACTAATTTATTATTTTAAAAAATAATCAAGAAATATATGCATCACATTTAAAAAATCTGTAATAGTTCTGTTACATATACTAGTAGCAAGCATAATCATTAAATATCAATTCTATACATACCGTATAGCATGACTTTTCTTGCTACCAATTTTTCAAAACTATTATTTGCTTTAACCTTTGCCTTCTTTCATACTCTATGGTTATTAATACCAGGTAGGTGTTACCATAAAAATAAAGCAATGAGCCAGAATATTAGTATTATATATTTTTCAGTAGCTTAGGTGTGGGATTAATGATGTCATAATGGAATTGGATTATTTGCCAGTTTTTTTACAATGGTTTTGAGCAAGCCCAGTGTCCTGGAGATGATACAAAATATGAAACACTTGACTGAATAAAAGCATAGCCATGAATTCTTTATTCTGTAAGCCAATAAGTGACCATTTATCCATTCATATTTATTAATTAAAAAGTTATGACTTTAGTACTAGCTATTTGTTAGGCAACATATTAAAGAATCTACAATGAATCAAAAATGACATTTACTCTCATGAAAAAATACAAATCAGAATTCGAATTCAAAACAGATTAAACAAAGTTTTTAATACACAGTTAATCAAAAAAACATCTATTGCAGGGATCAAAACTTTAAATGCCTAACAGGACAAGGCTTATAAAGAATAAATGGACTTGAAGTTTTTAAAGAGTCACATGACCTTTCCTTGGCTGTCTTTCATTTTCCCATTTGACAAGGATATAGATAGCAAGGGGTATTTCTTTCTCATGAGGAAAGCAACAGCACAGTGAAAACTAGCCACCCATATTTAACTTCACTGTCAGGAAGACAAGCATTGGTGGAGGCTGTGGCTTCCTGAGAGCCCACACCAACATCTAAAGGGGTCAATTACGGGTGACTGAAAACTCAGAGGAATTTCATCTTAGTATTGCTAGATATTCCATAGATATTCCAATTATTTTAAAAAGGAATTTAAAATTTTGAATTTTTAGGTAAAAGCTCCATATTTCACAATATTTCACAGTGTTGGCTTTGGTTCCCTCTCCCTGCTCTCCCTCGTTTCCTCTTTCCCTTTTTTTCCCCCCCGAGACGGCGTTTGGCTCTGTAGCCCAGGCTAGAGTGCAGTGGCCCTCACTGCAGCAGCCGTAGCCTCCCAGGTTCAGGCAATTCTCCTGCCTCAGCCTCCCAAGCAGCTGGGATTACAGACGTGTGCCACCATGCCGGGCTAATTTCTGTATTTTTAGTAGAGATGGGGTTTTGCCATGTTGGCCAGACTGGTCTCAAATTCCTGACCTCAAGTGATTCACCCGCCTCAGCCTCCCAAAGTGTTGAGATTACAGGCATGAGCCACCGCGCCTGGTCTTAGATTTCAAAACAAAGACACAAACCATAAGTTTGCCAAAGGTAACACCTCTGCAGATCAGGTTAGGCTTGTGATTTCCAACCAGTTTGCAGACATCCTGAGACAAATGGGACAGATCTAGCTAATATTTTCAAATTTTATTTTATAGGTATAGTCCAAAGAAATTTGGCAACTTCCCTGACGTCATCCAATAATTACCTGACTGAACCAGGCAAGAATGCAAAGTAACTAAATCTCTATCCAGAGTTATTAAGAAGGCATGAAAAATAATAATAAGTTGCTTTTCCATTTGATAGTTTAAAAAGCATTTTCATAGGTATTTTCTCATTGCCAATTAAATCCTAGTTCCTGATCACAGAGGACCGGGGAAAGAATGACTCCTCATCTTTTATGATGTTTCTCTTTAGTAGTTCCCCAGATATGCATTTATTTGAATTATTTTACTACAGTTTACTTGTCAATTCAAATATATCATTTTCATCATCTCAAATACAACTCTTTTAATTTTCTAATAATATCACCTTCTCATGCGGCTCGATCACCTCATCCATTCTTTACTCACTTAACACTATCTATCTTACCTCCATATATTGGCCTATAAACATATACATATATACACACACACACATTTATAGATATAGATATACCTATAAATATGTGAGTGTGTGTATATATATACATATATACATATTCTATTTTAATCTCTGTTCCCATTTCATATTCTACTCTTAATACAGTATTTCTCATATATGCTTTCTAATTATCCTCATTATTTTGACATCCCACTCCTATCTACAAATGTACCCCTTGGGTTCTCTATAAACTTGCACTATCCAATCTAGTAGCTGCTAGGCACATGTGGCTATTTAAACTTAAATTAATTAAAATAAGAAAGTCAATTCATCTCTACGCCAGATACACTTCAAATAATCAATAGCAACATATGGCTAATAGTTACTATATTAGATAGTGTAGATATAGAACACTTTTATTAATACAGAAAGGTCTACTGGACACTGGTAGACTAGTAATCTGTTTTTCCTTAAACTTATGAACCTTTTCTTGAAGAATACATTTTTCATAAAACAACTTCAATATTGGGATACACGATACTTGTATATATTTATGGGGTGCATGTGGTATTACACAAACATACGACGTATAATGATCAAATCTGGGTAAGTGGAATATCCCATTCTTCATTTAAGAAGAATATCATTTTTTCCTGTTAGGAACATTCCAAATCTTCTTTTCTGGCTATTTTGAAATATACAATAAATTATTGTTAACTATAGTCACTCTATTGTGCTACCAATCACTAGACCTTATTTCTTCTAATGGTATTTTTCTTTTTTTTTTTTTTTTTAGTTTTTCTTAGGTTTCATAAAGGTAGTTTTATCCAAATATTAATTATTGTACATATTTAGACTAAAATGATAATGATGCTACATCTTTTGATGTTATACATAGATTTAAATGGCAATGGTTTAAATCAGAATACAATTCCCCAACAAACGGCAGTGCTGGCCCAACAGGAGGAACACTAAGTCTTAATATATTTCTATTATGTGTTTTTTTCATGCATGTTTATACATTCCTCACTTTATCCATTTGCATAAAAAGTACATTTACCTAAACACTAATAGTGATGTCTTAATTTCTGGAAGCTACGGGCAATTTTAATCATTGAAAGGAGAAATAAGAAAAATATTACCTCTGCCAATAACAGTCTGATTTTGAATGACTATGTAAGGCAGTAAATATATGAGATTAACCTATAAACAGAAGGTTCAAACAAACATTTGAACTTAATGAAAATGAGTGAAAAAATTATTGCCCATGATGCTCCGTTAATCAGTGACAGCAGAGGCTATGAACTTTTCATGAACCTTACAATACAGGATTAAGGCTTATTCATAGTACTCAAGTCTCATTGAGATTCAGTAGGCTGCTTTTAAATATACCTCACCGTTAACCTAGCTCTAAAATGACTCACTCATAAAACATAACTTCCTGTAGGCTACTTTTTAAAAGGGATAGAATTGTATTTAACAAACAGAAAAACTCTCTACAATTTCACACATTTGCAAAAGAACTTGAAACACTGTTTTTTTTTCTTAATAAATAAAGTTTCTGCCCAAGTGTGCTGGCTTACACCTGCAATCCCAGCACTTGGGGAGGCCAAAGTGGGAGGAATTGCTTGAGGTCATGGGTATTGATCAGCCCGGGCAACATAGCAATGACTTTGTCTCTACAATTTAAAAATTAGCTGGGCATGGTGGTGCGTGCCTGTAGTCCTAGCTACTTGATGGGCTGAGGCAGAAGGATTACTTGAATCCAGGAGTTCAAGGCTGCATTGAGCTATGATTGTGTCATTGTACTCCAGCCTGGATGACAAAGCAAGACCTCGACTCCAAAAATAAATAAATAAATAAAAATAAAAGTTTAAAAAATCACACTCTTTCAAAAATCGTATTTAAGAAAACATCTCTGGTTCTTTTATGCTTTTACCCTTTATCCTTAATGCTTTTACCCTTCAATAATCCTCTCAACAATAAACTTAAAAATAAAAAATGAGGAGAAAATACTATAGAACAATTAACAGTCATGGCTCAGAGAACAAAACATGGACAACTTGTCATTACTAAAATGACAGTATAGCAGACTATATGGTTTCACAGACTCCAAGTCATACCTCAATAAGTTTTATGAAATTGAATTCTACATCCACTCATTGATTATAATGAGTGCAAAAAAGCCCAGTGAAAGCACATGTAAGTGACCAAAAAATGGCTGGTGGAGCACCTGGCACATTCTTGGGTATTGAGCAGCTTAGAGTATGCCCTTATTTCACTACACAACTCCTGTGTACAAGTCATAGATGAATGTGATCTATTCACAGTAACATGATCTATTTCATCCTTTGTGTGCATGGCAAAAGCACAAGCTTTTTCTTAACAGCCATTACTTACTGTAGAGTAAAGAGAAGAAGTGCTGGACACCAGTGATAATGAAGAGCCATGAACTGGAGAAAACAAAGAAAACAATAGAGTTAAAATAACGAGGTCTACTCAAAAACCCCAGCCTTTACAGAAAAAGTAAAGAAAGGGTGGTTAGGGAAATTAAGTAATAACAACTGGCTATAAGATTCTGAGAACCAGCCTGCTATAAATTTTTGGCAATCAGGACATTGAGACACGGAAGAGCCCCATTCATACTCCCTAAAGTATCTCAGTTGCCAAGTTATTAGACAGAAGTCTACAAGCATGAGCCCTACCAGCCTGTTTCTTACATATTGAAAGCTACGGTAAATTCCCGTATAATAAATAGAATAGCATGGAAACCCAAACTAAAGTTGCCATAAACTTTTAAACTTTAAAAAGCATATGTACTTTATTTATTTCATTTGTATCCAACAAAGGTCCATTTTCAGATTTTTTTCCCCATATAATTTCAGGGAAATAAGTACTTTTATCTAATGTGTTATTACAACATTATCTGTGATGCATTAATCATACTCTTATAAATGTGGAATTACTGTTCCTTTACTAATTTTAGTAAGAGAAAAATACTTTTTTTTCAAGGTGGTGTCTCAGAGAAATTGAGAACGGAAATGTCACACTGGCTTTTATCTGTTTCAAATATCATTATAAACATTGGACATTCTGCTTTATACTTCTGTACTTCCAATGTACTAAACCCAAAAGGTGGATAAAATGGTGCTGAATAATATTTGCAGAAAAGTTTATCCTCTTTTTACTATGGAGTAGCATGGTTATTTCTGCTCATTGTGTATTAAACAAACATTAGTTAAGCATGAACAATGTGACAAGCTGTTGTTAGATCCTGGAACTACAAAAATAAATAAGATAAAATCCCAAAAGCTCAAAAAGAAGATATAATGTAAAAGACATTTATAATAGAGTACTACGAATGCTACTGAGATCAATATGGTGGGTACCACAAGGACATATGGGAGGTGCTTAAGACCTGATCAGGAGAGGACTGGAATAGCTGCACTAGGTTTGTGGCAACATGGATGAAAACAAGGGGATGGAATTGGAGGATACCAGGAAGAACCTTTTTAAAACTGAGTATATAGATGTGGTCAAAAGAGGAATAAAGAACAACCCCCAGTTTTCTAACTTGGGCAAAGCTACTACTCTATGTGATGTGCAAAATGTTGGTATTTGAGTCAATTATTAAAAAAAAATTTTCAATCTCTAATAATACCCTCACAAACTAAAGTGTTACCCTGATGTACCAGAAAAAAGGTGAACAATTAATCAGGTGATCTCATTCTCATTCTCTTTGTTTATGATCTTAGAACATATGGCTCAGTCTCTTCATCTGTCAGTGTGAGCATTAGGTAGGATATCAATAAAGTCCCTTCAATCTAGTTCAATAAGTCTTGAATCTAGATCACCATTTAAGAACTAGAATAGGTCAGTATTCAATGTATGAGCACAAAAAAAGCCATCTTGCCCACTTAGGCTAGCTTTCAGAAATTCAGATTATTTAATCCTCATATATTGAAGGCCAGAATTTCCCCGTATATAAAAATCACTTTATTTGTAAAAGCTGCACTCTAGAAAGCCATCTGTATGCTTACCAAATTATTTTAAAAGTATTACAAGAAGCCTATCTGTGACGAGAGCAACAGAACCATTTCAGAAAGCAGTGTCCTTACATTTGAGAATAGTTATGTGTTGTCTGTCTACATGGCGACAATCAGTGGAGTCCTTGGATATAATTCACTGTCTGTCATAGTGAACTTAGTGGTTTGGTTAATATTGCAAAAGGCAATGACAACTCTTCTCTACTGATTTAGTGCCAGTATATTAAATCCATAGTGGTGACCTGAAAAATATGAGCCAATTTTCACTGCTGCCTAACCCCTCAGTCAGAAGATATTTTAAATAAGAATGTAGAAAGGGAAAAGATAATGGAATAGAATTGTTCTTTATTCTCATATTTCATCCTTGTGATAAACCTATGAAGTTACAGATGCAGAACTTAGGGCTAAGAAAGTTAAGACACTTGCCTAAGTTTACACCACAAATAAATGGATGGCAAAAGGATTAAACTCTGGTATATCTCAAGATTTGGAGACCTTTCTTTTAAACATAATTATTAAGGTTAATAATTTCATTCTAATTAATTTGCACTTTACGTCTAGTTTTATTTTATCCTTAGCTGAAATGCTTTATAATATGTATGCTGTAAGTTTTCTTTATGGATACAAAAAAAAATTCACTAAATCAAAGAGAAAAGTCTCTCAAATTATTGTTAAATTTGACATTTGAGCTTCTAAAGTTTAGAAAAATATTTATATTTGAGCATCAACTCAGCTTCCTGAGGTTTTCAAGCTGATTTATTTAGAGTATTTACATAGAACTATATAACTATAAAGATATTTAACAGGTTAGGTGACAATTTTATTGCCATTGGATGAAGAAATAATGACTTATAAGCAAAAAAGTAGGTACAATATGAACTCTAAAATGATATAACAAAAAATTAGCACCAGAGGGAATTTCTGGGAATGTAAATCATCAACATGTGGTATTTTCATAAAATAATGTTTCTGGTTTGCATGTCTTTATGGCTCTTTAACCAAAATGTCAAACAAAACATTTGCTTTGATATTTGATGCACCTGGGAAAATAGTTTCTATGTATATTTCTGTATTGGAAAAGTAGATTTAGTCTAAACTCTTCTACAGCCAAGTATTAATCTAAACAAATTCTGCCATATTTCCAAATGCATAAAGCAATAGAAGATAATACAGAATAAAACTTCTTCAAGCTTCTAGTTTCCCAAATGATAATTACACTAATTATTATTTTCCTCTTCAGAAATCTTTGTGATGTGAGTGATGCAATGGTTTCCCTCTCAGGGTTTAAATAAAGTGACTTCATCTTTATTCCCCCCAACACTTACCTTCTTCCATGCTGTCTCTGAATGAGCCTGAATGACTGATGGCACGAGGTCTTTCCTCCAGAGAAGTGGCACTCCCACAAAGCTGGGAGTCATCATAGAGATCGAAGGAAGAGTCTTGGGCTGGGATGCTGTTTGAGCGCATCATGCTGGGCCCAGGAAGGTTAAATTGAGACAAATTTGTTGGGCTCACTGAAAAACAAAGCACACAGAGCCTATTATTCTGAAGCTTGAAAGATGAAAATAGCAGGTTGATAGAAAGTAAGAACATGATTCCAATTCTTATGAAAACATGAATGTATAGTGAGTCTCCTACTTAAGGTAAGAGTCTGCCTCTGAAATATCCAATAACAGATCCTACTGAGTCCCTCTTTTCCTCTAGCACTTTCATGGCAAGCCTTATGTCAATTTCTAAAGCAATAGTACACAAAACCAACAAGTCTCATGATTAGGATCATCATTATTATCAAAGTTAGGTTATAAGGAGATAGCATGTAATAAACATTTTTATAACTAAACACAATGTAACATACATGGTATCTGTAGCTCACCATAAGGTTAATTATATGAAATGATTTTCTACTCTGTTTAAGATGAGCATGTCACGATGAGATGGTCAAAAGTCACAAACATGTTATATTTCCAAAGAAGTATCTTAAGTCTGTAATTTTTAATAAGAATTTATTTTTTTATTTTTATTTTTTTTGAGACGGAGTCTCGCGCTGTCGCCCAGGCTGGAGTGCAGTGGCGCAATCTCGCTCACCGCAAGCTCTGCCTCCCGGGTTCACGCCATTCTCCTGCCTCAGCCTCCAGAGTAGCTGGGACTACAGGCACCGACCACCGCGCCCGGCTAGTTTTTTGTGTCTTTAGTAGAGATGGGGTTTCACCATGTTAGCCAAGATGGTCTCGATCTCCTGACCTCATGATCCGCCCACCTCGGCCTCCCAAAGTGCTGGGATTACAGGCGTGAGCCACCGAGCCCGGCCAAGAATTTATTTTCTTATTGCTTATTGCCAAATAGTCCTCATCTGGTAGTCATCAATTTAAGGAAATATTTGGTTGATTGTATGTATAACTGCATTGGAAAACAATACCGTTGTAAAATTTGGAATAAAAGCAAAGCAGAAAAATTGAGAAAGACATTCTAAATGTTTATATTTAAGAAAAGCAAGTTTGTTACTGGTATATGAGAAAGCAGGCAGGAGCCTCTTAAGATATAAAGGGAACTACTGAGTATTTCCAAAACTTTGGGGAATCTGTCTGTGGCTTAGAGTTGTTCTGACATCACTTAAAAATTTACTAAGTTTTTTTCTTTGACATAGGCACTAAACTTCTTCTTCATACAAGTACTGGCTCTCTAAACAATGTAAAACAGGAAAAGTATACCCAGAGGTTACTGGAGATAAGTATCTCATATTTGGAAGGCACTGTGCTTGATAATTCTGATATTAACTGAATTAACACACAGAACAACCCTCTGATAGAGCCAGTTATTGACTGGAGTAAAAGGCAGCATAGGACTAAGAATCACATATTTAAAATGTAATGGAAAAGGAAAAAAATACGAATCTGCAAAGTGTACAATCTATTGGAAAAAAAAGAAGAAAGGATGGAAAGAAGAAAAAAGTAAAAAAGGGAGAGGGAGAGGATCTGCCTATTTTTCAAGAACATTCCTTCAGCCTGCAGTGACCATTAGTACCATTTCGGTCTGATTAGTGACAACAGCCAGTAGGTACACTGTAGGACATTCAAGACTTAAAATGTTTATGTTTAAGGTGGCAGATTGCGGTAAGTCACCCTATTCTTGGCTCACAGTATGAATGTACTCTTGTTTAAATTAATGAAGTATTAAACAAATTTGCAAGGGCATCATTTTAGTATACATATCTATAGGGTTAGAAGTATATTTTATTTGCTTTTTGGCTTTGTATAATTCTTACCTAAATGATTGCAGAGATGTCCAAGTGAAGTGTACTTCTACAATTTCAATACATAATACTTAGCTCTATCAAGATGAAACATTAATGAGGATTAGGATAGATTTTAAAGGGAATAGTTTGTATTTATGAACACTTTTGATAGGTTCTCCATCAGAAATTACACCCAACTGCTTAAGAGTGTTCAATTAAGTTCATAACTATGACAGATCTGGTTTTAGATGTTGTAGTTGAATAGAAGGAAAAATATGACACAGTCTCTGATTTCAAGAGTAGCCAGTAGGGCAGATGTTTGAAGAAGGAGAAAAGTCAATATGTAAAATAGAACAAGAGAAACTATACAATAGAAAACAAATGTAACACAGACAAAGATAACTTTTCGAAAGGAAACAAATTAGTAAAGATCTTCTAGTGGTAGTTTTGCTTTCCATCTGCTTTGGGCAAATAACCCAGTCACTACCCTTCAATTATTTTATGAATAAACAATGGAAGAATAAAAAGCCTCTAAGATCCATTCAAAGCCAAGAGGCACACAAGAATTTCTAAATAGAAGAGAAACAGATGTGGCAATGTATCAGGAAAAAGAGGGCTACCAACTTTGTCTTAAATTGCATTTGCATAGCCAAGCCACTAATCTTTTGTTAAGACTATATATTTATTTGTAGTAACTTGAGGAAAACAGCATCTGATATCAATGTGGACTGGGTTTTTATGATATTATTAAATACTATTATTTTGAGACAGGGTCTCACTCTGTCTCCCAGGCTGGAGTATGCAGTGCCACGATCATAGCTCACTATAGCCTCTAACTCCTGGACACGGGATCCTCTTGCTCCAGTGTCCTGAGTGCTGCTGGTATTACAGGCATGATCCAATGTGTCTGGCTGGACTGGGTTTTTAAATAACCCCAAGCTACTCTCTACCTTTGCATCTACAGCTAGACATTAACTAGTGAGTTTATTATACTGTTTTAGACATGAAGAGCTGTCTTATGCAATCTAACTTTGACTTATTTTGTAGAATCTGGATATATATAACTAGTAACAATAGGTGAAGATTCAGGAAAATTTTATTTGATCTCTTAAAGAAAGAATTCCAAAAGTGTTATTTCTAGGTTTTAGTAGTTTCTGTCATTGGCGGGTTTAAAGAAGAAGCTAGAGATGTCATAAAATTTTACATAAGAGATGAAGGGTTGAACCAGATGTGGTCTCTTCTGACTGTGAGATTCTATGCTTCCAAAAGAATAGAAGACAGGAGTTTATTCTGAGAAGGTTGAAGGGTGAGCACGAAGATGGGAAATGATTCAAGGTAGAGGAAGATTTGAGTACCAAAGCATAGAAACTATTCCTATTCAAAGGTGTTTAACAATCACTGTATGCAAAAGGATCCATCTAATTTAGAGAATATTAGATGGATATTAGAAGTGACAGTTTGACATTAATGTTCCTGCATGTAACCCTTGTGGCAAGGTGAAAAATGAATCTGAGAAATTGTTATCACTCATGGAGGCATGACAATGAGTCTCACCAGGTTATGAGATGGCTCACGAGAACTATGACCTCTTTTGTTTCTCTTCTATTTAGAAATTCTTGTGTGTCTCCTGGCTTTGAATGGATCTTAGAGGCCTTTTAGTCTTTCATTTTTTATTCATTAAAAAACTGAAGGGTAGTGGTTGGGTTATTTGACCAAATGAAGTTTCATCCAAAGACTTTTTGATTTATATAAGTCATATTTTGTTATTCTTTCTTGAATGGGAATGGTTTCTACTAGGGCTAGCACACTGGGAATGACACACAAATGATAGTTTACTGTGGCAGTAGCTCACAGTAGTCTACTAAATATGACATATTGTAGTGATCTTAATTTTCTACTATATGTTGTGATTTTTTACAGTAATATTTTTAAAAATTTTATATATTAACACATTTTAATTGGTAGAAAGAATAAAGAAAACATGAATACTGCAACTTTTGAACATTAATAATAATCCTGTATCTTACTGATAATTCAGAAAAGATAATGGTCAAATGAAAAATGCGTGATGTTAAAAGACGGCAAGAGGACATATTCAAGGTAATTACATATATATATATAATTTAATAATAAAGTAACTTTAATTTATGATTGCATTTTAAGAATACTCATTTTCTTGACCAATAAAGAGGTTCATGTGAACTGTAAATACAGTAAAAACTCTTTAAATATTACATTTTTGAAATTAGTCATTTTTTCCACTCTGAAACAATACAGCATAAAGGTCTCAAAATGCCTCATTTGAAGTCATATGTGCTTCTAAGATCTGGGGAGGTACATGAGAGTGTGTTGACATGGATAGGAATATCTTCTTTTATACCTCCCAATGGGTGAAAATGTTGAGACATAAGGGAGTCAACAGAGTAAGATCAATTTCAAATCTGCAATTGTCTACAGTTAAAAAAGCTTCAGCAAGGACAATGTCCCTGAAAATGAGAGACAGATGTAGGAGATATTCTGAATATAAAATCACAGTATCCTGTCTACTGAAAATGTACAATATGAAGAGCACAGTTTCAAGTAAGACTATTGATTACACAGATTTTGCACTAGAGTAGAGAGAAGGATGATACGTGAAATTATAAGACAAATAGAAGAAAAGAACCCAAGAAAAGACTTTGATATGAGGTGGCTATATGGTCTAGCACATTGATGGGATTTTAGTTTTAGAACTGAAAAAGGTCTCAGACAGAAAGTGAAATGTTGATTTGAGAGATCAGAATTAAAGTTGTGAATGAGAACATAGAAAAAGGATTTAGGATAAAAAAAAGTCTAAAGGAAAAACAACTTGGTAAACACATAAATATCAGGAGAAGAGGGAAGATGAATTGCATTGCCCAAGGTTTGCACCTAATACCTGGAACAATTATTAATACAGTCCCATTCACTCTCAAAAGTGACCTTGTGTCTACAACAAATGATACAGCTTTGTTAAGATAAGCAACCCCAGGAGAAAGAATTGTAGTTGGAAAAGTATGAAGAGAATCAAGAGGGCAGTGTCACTTAAGTCATGGCCTGTCTGATACAGTTGAGATATCTCTGATATAAACCACAATAGATTAAGGGGGGAAACCCACATCCTAGAAAGGTAAACTTGACCTTTCAGACTGGGTTTCTATAGCAATGAAATGTAAGGGATGTATTTGATCAGTGGTTTTCTAATTCATCAGAACATTAAAGCTCTACAGAGAGCTTTGTTATCAGTAAAAGTATAATTCACATTTCATTTATTAATTGTGTTTTAACTGTGAAAACTATGTAATAAAATACATTCCCAAGTGTGCTATAGAATCATTCATTTTTTAACACATTGTGATCATGGACATGTTGGCTTCAGTTGCCATGTTAACTTTAATTTATGCAAATCTTAGAATAAACTTATCTTTGCACAAATATTTGACATTTGTGGTAAATTAGTCCTTGATAGAAATCTCATAGTTTTGTGCTAGTCTTTTAAAAATACAATTTGTGAATGTCTTTCACAAAATCCTGTGGTTACTGTCTTGTGAATTACTACTCAATTAAATGTAGACAAAACTCAGGCATATCTGATGAATGCTACTCTGTGATAGTGTGAAACATGCTTTCCAATAAAACTAATGATTTGGCAGAATCTATCAAGTCTTACACACGTCTCCATCTTTATATACACTATATCCATCATTCTTTACAATATGACCTACGTATTATGTATCCATTCAAGAGATAACAAAATTAGTTTAAATGACTTCACCAAAGTCAGACATAGTAAATGGTGAGTCTTTTTGTTCCTAAAGAATAATGAAGGTGGATCTAATCAGAATAATAATGGTGAAGAAAAATAGAATAAGGAGTCAACTAATCAAATTAATGTGAATTAATGAAAAGAATTGATAGGAGACATGAAGTACTTAGCAAGCTTATAGCATTTTAGGTGATTTGGGTGTGTTTTAGATGTTGTAGGAAACTATTTTGTCTCATATTCCTATGACCTACACAAACATTTTAAATTCATTTTTTGAAGTTAAGGCGTTAGGCTTTTTACTTTTTAAAAAAATCAGCTGCAACTTAAAGTAAATAAAATCTATACATTCTTTGGCATTATAGGCAAAGACTCTTATCACTATTATATTGTTAGGAAACAAAAGCTTGGTGTTTGATATGAAATCATTAGCTTATATGAAACCATGACCAAAATAATTGTTTTCAATTGCTAAAAGCCCTACTCAGTACAGTGGGAAGGGTTGCAATAGAAAAAATAAAGCCTTGAGTCTTGTCCTGGTTGAAAGCTGGAAAGTCCAACTTACTGAAAAATGTGAATCTTCTATAGGTACATGATTAGAATTTTTTTTCCAGTGAAAAGAGAAAAAGTAACGAGGCCCTTGGAACCCTCGGGGGCCAGGAGAGTTTAGGCCCGTAGTGTCTGGGCTTCAGGCTTGGGAGAAGGGAAGAAGAAGGAGACACTTGAGGACCCAAGGTGCTTCTCTGTGGGGATGTGGTCCATGGGTGCAGGAGCCCCTGGAGGCTGCTGCCTTGGCACTGCTGCTGGCCAAGAGAGATGTATTTTTGTCTAAGCCCTGGAAAGAGGTGCTGGAGTACCTGGAGAATATAGACCTGAAAACACTAGAGAAGTAACCAATGACTTTCAAAGCAAAGGAGCTATGGCAGGGAAGAATGGAGTTGTGATTGTGGCTGTGCCAGACTGTTTTCTCTGGCAAGAGGGGGCTGCAGACCTGTCATCCCTCAACCCAAGTTGGACGATCTGGGTGTCCCCCTCTATGCAGTTGTTAATGAGCAGATCAGGACTGACATAAAGTTTTTCCAAACTTGTTTCAAAAGAGAAATCCTCCTGGATAATAATAAAAAAAGTTCTATGGTCTACAAAGACAGAAAAGATGATGTTTATGGGATTTAGCCCTCTGGGAATGTGGCTTCCAGCCTGGAATCGAGGCTTCCCTGGAAACCTGGAAACCCAAGGCTTCATCCTCAGGGGAGTTTTTGTGGTGAGATCAGGAAAGCAGGGAATTCCCGCGCATGGATAAAAAGAATATGGAGACAAAGTAAATTCACTTTCTGTTCTGGAAGCTGCTAGGAAGATTAAACCAGAGACTTTGGCCTCAGAGAAAAAAATGATTGCATGAAACTGCCCAACTCAGAGAAACTATGGACATTCATTCACTTGTGTTCATGGAATGTGTTGTCCCCATTTGTGTCCCTAAGGAGTTAGAAATCTGCATTTATCTTATTCTCAGTATGACTTATTAACATATTTTAATACTATACTCTGTTTAGGCCCAGTGAGGCAAAATAGTCCCAAAACAAGACTGGCAAAAAGCTAAGCAAGCAGTGAAGGTTATTCAGCTGAAACCTGGAAAATACAAGGCTCAAAATTGACTGTTGTGCCTCATTACAAATGTGTATGGTGTTTGAGTTCTGTTATTTGAAATTATGTTCATTTTCAGGTCTTCAAAAATCTAATAAAACTTGATGATTGACTTGAAGGTTAGAGAATATAAGGTTTTGGCTTGTGTGTTTTCTATTACTAATTTTTTATATAATGTCAAAGTAGTACTTTCATGATGGAATTGATGTACTCTGGGATAGTTTGACAAAGGTAAATTATAAAGATCAAAACTCATCTTTATGTACAAGTTTTTCTGATAAACTAATGATAAAAATATTTGCCATAAAAATAATGAGAACACTTTATATGTGACTTTATAGAAGATAAACCAATTTTTAAAGTCATTGAATCTATTAAATGGTATCTGGCATATTGAGCTTTCTTTAATTATTTTGTTACTCAGAGTGTTTTTGATGATATTTTATGCATATTATTTTATACTTCATACAAATGATGCTAAATACAAAGTAACCCAATGACTATGTTGGTAATTTGTTTTTCATTGTATCTATCTGAAAACATTCAGAGTATTGTCTTAACAGAAATTCTCGTATGCATTTTAAGGAGTTTTAATTTTAACAATGTTAAAAGAAGTTAGCTTGGAGTCATGGAATTACATATCTTTTTCTTCCTAATTGTTTCTATTTTCTACAAAAGACTACTAATTCGTTTTAAGGATGTTTTAATATTTCAAGCAAATAAAAAAGGAGATGCTTTCCTGTTTTTTAAGAGGATTCTAAAATGGAATGGAAAAGTCCCTGGGCTTAAAGTCAGATGTTCTGGAACTGATTACTACCTTGAACCCTTAGTAATGGTAAGACTTTTTCAAGTCAAGTGACCTTTCTGAGCCCTAAGCCTAGACTAGAAAACAACCACAGTATTAACCTATGTTAAGCATTTATCATGAGCAATAAACAGTATAATGTTTGGAGATTATTCTGTGAAAAGTAAACAATGACACAAATGAAAGGTACTGTTAAAGTGCCTTTATCCCTCCCTTTAAAGGAAAACGTGTTGTATTAGGGAGAGATTCCAGGGTTTCCGTGAGAGTGGGTGGTGAAAGAAAGAAAACAAAATCAATATTTTAGAATATTTTACCCAAGTTAGAAAAGTGGTATTTTCCAGCTGCAGAAGATGACATGGCAGAAGGCGAAACCAGAGGTGACTGGTTGCCAGTGTCCTGAAGCCCTCCAGTAGAATGAGAACGCAACCACTCTTTGCCCTCTTCTTGGTTGGCCTGCCGAGATGATGGGGTATATCTGCAAAACAGCACAGCTATGACACTTAAGCACATCTACAAGGGCAAGGCAATGCCAAGACAGGAAAACAATTGAGAGGAGGTTACTATTCAGAATGAACAACAATTTCAAACAGATTGAATCTAATTATAATTGCTCAGTTCTTCCAGATGATCTTACACCATCTGTTTGAATCACATAGGAGAAAAATAAAATAAAGGGATTTGAGGAGAAAATTATGCTTCTATCAGATATGCGGTTGGAAATCATAAGCAATGAGCAGACAGCCAAGTTAATTGAGAACTCAAAAGCACAGGGCTAGAAAGGATGTAAAGAGGGTGAAAACATGGACTACAAATGGAGGACACTGGTGGGCCAGGGCCAAGAGAAATGAAGTGATGGTCACAGAAGGCATAGGGAAATGGAATACATATTGTCAGCTTTTTTTTGTTGTTGTTGTTTTTGTTTAAGGAAAAACAGTTCTTTTGTTAAAATGCCACTTGACATCATGCCTAGATTACAAAAATAGGGAGGGAGATGTGCTCGCTTTACTGGATAATAAATTTCTGGAACAAAATATTAAAATGGAATAATTGCCAGCTATTTGCTATTGCTGAATAATTGGAGAGAAAAAATAATAATGGAGAAAGACCTAGTTTTGCCATTATTCACTGTTTCACCAAACTAAGTATATTTTCTTTTTGTAAGTAAATTCTTAGCACCAAAGTAGCCAACTTTTCATATGCATACAGTGTTATACCTCTATTAGTAGTTCATTCTATATTCCTTCCTCAGATAAAAGTACACAGTAAAAGATGGCCATAAGTTAAATTTTTATTTTACTTTTTATTATGGATGGAATAATTATTTTGAGATTATTAAATGATATTAGATTGATTCATATTTAAGTTGATCTCAGAGCAGCACCCCTGAAAAATAGAAATTAAAACAATTTTGAGATTTTATCAAACGGATTTTATAAAAATCATGCTTTAATTATAGTGTTTGTCCTGTGATGATGAAAATATGTTTTCTTTGATTCAGATTGTAGCATCCTTCAACCTTTAAACATTAACTACCCACATCTGTAGACTGTATGGGTTTTGAGGATTTGAAAGCATATGCCTCCAACAGGCAAAAGTTAGAAGAGTTAATTTTATTTTAATTTGTTGAAGTGAGTTCTGCATTCTACCAAAAGTTGCTGCCCCAAAAAAGCAACGCCTGGGACAAGTTTTTTTATTTTATTTTATTTTATTTTATTTTATTTTATTATTTTATTTTTTAGCATTATTTCTTCAAAATAGTGATATTCACATTGGAATTTATTTAATTTGAGTGACAGCCTCAACCTCTACTAGTATCTCTACCTAAGGGGCTATCTCAACAACTGTTTGGGCCAGAGAAATCATCAAAATTAAAAGTGATTTCATCCTCAATGTCATTGCTACACTGCAAACAAACAAAGAAGGAAGAGAGACAGAACACAAAGTTTACATAACAACAGAGAGAGGCAGCAATTGTGCTGAGAGAAATATATACCTTAGTCCCTTTTTGGGTAGTGTATTTCTGTCAAGCTGCATGCTGTTAAAACAAAGAAAATCCCTAAGGACATAATGTAAACAAAACTTCCAAATTACACATCCAACAAAAATGGTTCTCTGAACTACAAAAAATAATTTTTTGGTAACACACATATAATTCTTAACTAATTGAAAAAGGCCAACTAAAGGTGACAAGATGTCCATTCCCATTACACATATTGAGTTCCTTTCTAAGGCAGTACCAGTCAATGATAGTTTACTGATAGGATTACTAGAAAATAGATTAAATCATGTTAGCATAATTTTCCTCTGAATTCTATTGATTAAATACTATCTTAGTTTTTCCTTCACTATGCAGCTGACTAGATTTTTGCTATGATATCACATGCAAAATAAGATAGACTTGCTCTGGCTAAGTTAGAGTGACAACTTCCAATGGACAGAGATGGTATAAAACATCGTTTAATACTTATATTTTGTCTTCAAATTATTTTTAATAAAAAGGCATGTTTATTTCCCATTTACACATGTGAAGAAAGATATATGAGTCTTTGCTTAAAACTTAATTGTCTCTAGTATCATTTATTTAAATATTTTAATGAAATTAAGCGATACCATCTTTTAGAAATCATAAATTAGGTATTTAAAAGGCTGTACATTTATCATCTCTATTTTAAGGAATTCACAATTGGTAACAAGAAGGAATGAAAAGGTATGTCTAGAGAAAATGAGAAATGGCCTCTCTAAAAATACAGGAAGAGGATATCAACAACTAAGTGGGACAAGTCTAGGGATTTCTTTTATAATCTCTGGCATGTAGATAAGCAAAGTGTAAAATTAATTTAAAATGCAGAATTATAGCTTTCTTCCTTTAGGACCTCGAATGATCAAGATTAAATACACAGGGTATGCATAATGGGGATGATATAACATGAATGTAAAAAGACTGACTTGAAATTTAATCACTCAAACCAAAGCTAAAATGTTTTCTTCTATGTGTACTCCATTATTTAGCACTGCAAACAAAAGCATCCAAAGGCTTTATATAACTTTACTTTACTGGTAATGTCCATGTAAGGTAATTGCTAATATTATGTAGAGGCCAGTTACAGTATACATGTTGACTACAGAAGTTTTCTTAGTATTGTGGATAAACAAACAAAAGAAATCATATTGAACAAATATGAGAAATCTCCAAATATGAACCACATGTGCTAAGACATTTATGTGGTCATAAGTCATTTTAAGGATTACCTCTTTCCATGTGGACAAGTTAAAGTTTAATGCCACAAAGAATATTGAAAGTTGGTATTCTTCTGACAAACTCATCCAGTTGTATAAAAATTATATATTTATATGATGAAGAGCAATTTAATGAAAAAAAATTAGAACAAATACATTTAAAGTTACCAAAATAATTTAAATCTTTATTTAGAAGTATGTTTGAATCTAGATATTAATGATTTTATAACATAGACAATTTCTGCAAACCCCCAAAGGTTGCAAACTCATATGCCAGCAAGGGCCAGATAGGGCATGAAAATGAATGTGGTGGGGATTTTAGTCAACAGTCTGAAGCAGACAGTCACTGTCTGCCTAGAGCCAATAGTTTCTGGGCAGAAATGTCAAGGCAGTGTTGCCAGATCTGACATTTAAAGACAAACCCGGAATTTGCAAAGTTGGTTACTACAAATTATGTTAAAAATTTAGTTGAGTCAGACACACAAAACAAAGCCCAAAACAAATATAGACCAGTTATGGCTCAATGGCCACCAATGACCTAGAGCAGCTGCAGAGAGAAAACTGTTAAAAAGTGTATTTTATTATTTTATTTAATTTAATGAAGAAGAATTTAAACAAAAATGAAAATCTATAGGAAAAGCTACCGATTTAAATATGAGTATCAAAGAAATCATCTAAAATTTGAGACAAACAGGTAAATCATGAACTTATATACATCTTTATTATAGATCGCTGATTAACTTGCCTTAAAATATTTACATTAATGCATTTTCTCTCGGGTGTAGCTCTTTGGTTTTCTTAGCATTTCTGACATTCTACTGATTAATTAATCATAATGAAGCCAGTATCACCCCCTAGATCTACTTTTCTCTTCAATAGGTCATAAACTTTCTTAAATATACTTGAAAGGATTAGAGCAATTTGCTATTGCTTACAGTTCTGTTGTCAATAAAACAAAAAGCCTAGTGTCTTATATCAAAATTTATTTTAATCTAGTAATTTACTGTAAGGTGCTAATTAATATTAATATTATATACTATAGCTATGTAGTTAACATGTATTTTTTACAGCTTAATATTCATGAATGCATTTTATTAAGGCTCAAAGGCTAAACATATTTATCCAAAATTAAAGTTTATTTCAGAAAAAGTGTTTATTTGGTTGTTTTAATGTTAGAATATTCCTATTTTAAAAATTGGCCTATTTCGGGCTGGGTACCGTGGCTCACACCTGTAATCCCAGCACTTTGGGAGGCCAAGTCGGGTACATCACTTGAAGTCATGAGTTCGAGACCAGCCTGGCCAAAATGGTGAAACCTCATCTCTACAAAAAATACAAAAATTAGCCCAGCATGGTGGTCCGCTCCTATAATCCCAGCTACTCAGGCAGCTGAGGCTTGAGAATTGCTTGAACTCAGGAAACAGAGAATGCAGTGAGCCGAGATGGCACCATTGCCCTCCAGCCTGGGCGACAGAGCAAGGCTCCATTTCAAAATAAATAAATAACATAACATAACATAGCATAAATCAAATTGGCCTATTTCAAAGATTGAACATGTACAATAAATAAATCTGCTTAAAAAGAATAAGAAATTACATATTTTCTAGTGTATTTCTATAGTGAAAATCTTATTGACTTCAGTTAAAATATAGATTAGAGTAAAACATGAAAACTGCATTTTGGTTATAGCTATGTAACTAACCAATCTTATCATCTAGTTTTGATTTGAGAGTTACTTGGTTATAAATAGTTACTTGACTGTATTTCTGAATCTGGGATTAATGTCTAAATGCTGAAGAAATAGGCTGATGGCTAAATGGCCAACTTGTTGCAGATTATCTTTATAATTAAAAAATAACCAGTATTGTGGAAGGTAGTTGTGGTCAATAAATGATAACCTATTTGCAGTATGCTTGGTTTGGTTATCAACTTGATATTTAGAATCCTTACATATTTTGCATACAATCTAGGATACATTCATTACAACTATAGGTTGTTAATGTATTTTAATATAATTTATTCATTAGAAGCTTTATAAATGACATGTGAAGATGTCCATTTACCTTAGAAGTGCTGAAACTAGAATCAAAGATTTTATAGGAAGCCTGACTTTTTAGGTGGAAAAATGAACCCTTACTGGTTTTTACGTATGCTGTCTATAACAGCATATAACAGCAAAACCATAGGGAAATTATTACATTTTAGTTGCTGTCACTCAGCTGTTTGTCTTGGCTCAGTTTTTTTTCTTTATGAGGAAAAATGTATTTTGTAATCAGCAGCCCACCATAGCAAGCACGAATATTTTAGTTAGTGCTAAAATTATGTTATCATTGGAAAGCCCCATTTGCATGGCTGTCCCTGTCTCATTGTTAGGCACGTAGGAAGAGGGATAGAAGCAATGTTTTGCTCTGGGTTTTGTATTTTACAAAGTCAAGAGAAAATGGGGAATTTCAAACTGAGACATCCTAGATTAAGGGGAAACTAGTGTAATGCAGAGAGTGTCTAGTTAAGGGCTTTAACTGATGTTTCAAAATATCATTCTGGGAGTAAGGCTGAAGGTCTAGAAAACAAATGCCAATGTCAATATCAGAGTTAAAAAATAAAAATAAAAAAATAAAAAAAAAAACAGGGGAAGATATAGAAAGATAAATCAGGTATTTTCTGTGACCAGTATTTCTTTCCATATGTGGCCAAGACCATGTTTAAAGCTTTACTTGTGTCAAGAAACAAATAGCATTGCATTTATCAGGGAAAAAGAAGTGGTTTTAAGACATCTTCCTGGTGGTAAGAGTCAGTATCAGTATAACCAAGAAAGGATCACTTTGAGGAAAAAATTTAGAGTGATTTGCTCAAAAGGGATGCTTCACGATAAGCATATTAGGCAAGAAATGCCTTGTTATATCCTCCACTTTAAGTATATATATATATATATATACACACACACACACACACACATATATATATATCCAATGAGAAACACTTTGTAATATGATTACTTTTTAAGTGGTCTATTAAAAATGGCACTGGCACTATAATTTTCTCTAATAACTCATGTCTGACAATTGATTTTTTTTTTTTTTTACCAGGTCAACTAGGATTTCCCAGCAATCCATCTGCTATTTTTTCATAGAAGTACAAATGGAACAAATTTAACATATTGCTCTGAGCATAACTGTAGAATAATTTCAATTTGGTCTTTGAAAATGCTTAAGTCATCATAAGGAGCTAGTGTTGTTCTGAAGCTTAAGCCAAATCATTAAAATGTCTTCAGGAGACCTCATTCAATATCTATATACATGCCTTGAATTTTATTCACATTGCCTACTGGGTATAAATGTATGCATTCACATTAACAAAATTATCCACTCGCTCTACCTTTAATGATTTTATTCCTCTGTAAATTTGGTAATAAGAGCAAATGAAAGGCCCAGTTGCATCAGTCTTACATCCTTTTGCACAGGGGCACTCACAGTGAAATCAAGGGAATTTAATGGGGTGGGGGGTAGGCATAGTGCAGGGAAGAGGGGGAGGATGTTATCAATGCCTCCAGGAAAGCTCACCTTTCTGAGAGAGTAGATCTCACACTACCCGTTCTCATGAGCAGGCTCTGGACCTCGTGAGTGCCTGTGGTCAGTCCAGACAAGGAGCCATGATGGCTGAGGGGGAGGTCAATAGACTCAGAGCTCGTGTGGAGGCTAGTCATGGACTGGTAGCTCGGAGTGTCCTTGCTGCCTGCAGAGGAACTGCTCATATTGGCAGCCCACACGAGACCACCTGATGTGAAAGAGTGAACCGATGCTGGGCTGGAGGCCAACGAGTGACTTAAGCTTATAACATCTGTAGTTAAGTCTGAGGGTTTATTGAAGAGAGGGCTGCTGCTGCCGCTTAGCCCACCAGCACTGCCCATGCTGCCCGTACCGGACGACGGTGACTCCAGACTGCCTTGCCGCGCTAATGTGGTACTAGGGCTGGGCATTACTGAGGAAGATTTCACACCCTCAGTATTAGGTGCAGAGGCAGATTTGCCACCTGCCTTGGCACCAAACAACCTAAAAGAAAAACAAATAACAACTTCAGTTGTTCCAAGAAGCTAATATCCACATTTAATATTTAGGGTTACAGTACACAGAGCCAAGTGTGCTTTGGTGTACTGAACTACAAAGCACTTCCTGTCTCTATGTTAATGAACTTTTATAAGCTTGGACTTCCTTATCAAGTGCGGAAAATCTCTCATATAAGGGTAGGTCAGTACTGGGCTGCTACTAGGGAAAGAGGGGAAGTGGGTGGAACAAAAGTAAGTCAAACATGAAAACCCCTGGTTTTCATAATTTAAGTGATCATGAGACTTTCACTCAAATTCAGTAGTTTGACCATACTTGCTGTTACCTATTTACAGAACCATTATAATGAAACAACTTCTACGCATTCGATAGACAACACTTAAATGACTTATTCTCTTGTTTTTTTATTTTTAATTTTTTAAACAGTTTATTCAAAATCTAGAAGGAACGCTTAAGGCAAGTTTAGGAGTTGTGTTGAGTACCTGGTGGCCTGAGTGACTGTCAGGGAGCAGGTGGTTGGAAACAATATTGACATTGTCGGCAACAAGTCAGTTTGTCTGTATTTTCCCCAGCAGAGGCCAAAGGGTTTTATGTCAGTTGCCAGAGCTATTCAAATACTTTTTTTTTAAATAGTGATTTGAAACAGAGCTGGTGCTGTTAGATTTTGGAGTTCAGTTTAGAAAACATTTTAGTTTTGTAAATGAAGCAGATGGTAGAATCAAATTTATGTAAATATGGAAATACAATGATATGAAGTAATGGCATAATGATTACTAATTAAGTTGCAATGAAATCCATATTTCCTAGAGCAAAATATTTTATGACGAATATGAGAAATTGTTTCATAGGTAATGGGCCACAGGAGGGCACTATTGGCTTTTACTTAAGAAACAGAAATATTTAGTCTCCCTATAAGCCATAATTCATTCTTCCCAATGAGAATCAGTTTTTTGAAAAGACAGTTCTGCAGCATCAATATTTCTACTGATGAATAAAACCTTTAGGTTTTTCAAACAATCAGGTATCTGAAATTGCTTTATTGTAAAAATAAATGTTTCAAAATCCTTCATTTCCAAGATATCAAAGTTCTGGGTTGAGTCAACAGAATAAAAACAAACATTAAAAATATTGAACCCATAATTAACTATAAGCCACACTCTACCATTTTGCAGATGAGAAAACAGACCCAGAGAGGTTTAGATATTTGCCCCCAATTTTTAACTGCATTTATTTTCCTACCACTTAAAAACACATGGGTATTTAAAAACAGTGATATCTTAGAGCAGAACTTCACATATTTAAAACCAAAAACAATCCAGGAACAGAAACCAAGTCATGATCCTTACCAGAGTCATGTCAAAGAAAGCAGATGAAGAGTTAGAAAGCTTAGCCCACTCCTTCAGTGGTGATACTATACCAAATATTGGAATCGTTTCAAATTCTGTCACATCTTGATTGTCTTTAATGTGTCAAGCTATGATACTGTATAAGTCTGTCCAATGTAATCCATTACAAGGAAAACAACTTCATCTACATTTATGATCACCAACTCATTAAGAGCCAGCAAGAAAATGACACTGGAAATGAATGCCAACAGTCATAAAAACCTATTTGGTTTTAATTTTTAATGTGAAAAGGAGGAACGGAAATCTATAGAAATTTTACAAGCTACTACTTTGCCTTATCACTACATTTAGATATTACCATCAGTTTTTAAGTCTCTTAGATGTTGTTTGTGTTGCTAATATTACAATGACAATGAAATTTTGAAGTTTGACTGTTTCTCACAATGAGAACTATTTTTTTGTTAACTGTTTATATAAGCTTCATAGAACTCACTGTGTACTTTAAAGAATTCTAAGATATATATGTACCTTATATGTATTTAGAATATATATACACACACACACACAATTTATATGTAATACATTTGTCTAACACATCCTTATCCTTTATATTTTTCAGCATCATTTTATACATCCTTACCTTCGAAATGTGGGTGAGGCAATATCTGGATACTTGGATCCTGGCTGCCTGAGACCTTGTGCACCACAGGCGCTGGCAGAAGTGGGGCTGGATTTGGGGGAACCTGACAAAGAAACACTTTCTGAATCTGAGACTGCTACTTTTTCCTTTTCCTTGTCTGTTTGGTTGACGGTGACAGGACTTGAGCGCCCTGACCCAATTTTAGTTGGTTCTCTCAGTTTTGAGGTGGTGGCCCCAGCAGACTTGCTGCTGACGTTGGAATCAATACTGCTGGTACTGGATCTGTGCCCACCTCGGCCAGGAATGCCACTGGTGCTGGACTTTGAAGGGCGGGGCAAGCTGCGATATTGTAGGGTAGTCTTTGAGCTAACATGCAGCACAACATCATCCTGATTCTGTGAACCGTCCAAACTGGTTTTTCTCCCTGCATTTGACTTCCCGCCAATGGCAGCAGATTTTGGAATTTTACCCAGTGTTGCAGAGCCACTTGTTATGGTTGCTCCACTGCTAGTGATCATGGCAGATGACCCTACTCCACTTGGTTTCTTAAAGCCAAAGGAGCTGGTGGCAGTCGATCTTCCAATGCCTGAGGGGGGCTTTTTCCCTTCATCTCCACTGCTTTTTCCTGCATCTGAAGGAGACCTTTGTAGAGATGATCCTTTTAGGGGAGCTTTTCCTTTCTCAGACGCTTTGGCATCATCGGTTTTCCCTAATTAACGAGAAATACAAATATGTGTGCCTGTACAGTTTGATATCACCACACTTCATGAAAACAATGTGTAAAATGTGAATGCTTCTTTACATTTCTTCCCTTCCTAAATGTATTGCCTTAGATCAATATTCTAACATATTGAGAGGACTGAGTGCATCGCTACAAAAATTTGGCTGTTAGAAGAAACATTATGAGAGACAGAAGAGATAAAATGAAAACATGTGTTTTGCTATTTGTTAATGTCTTTTATTTTGCAACTCTCTTTAAAAGGACAGCACTTAAGCCTATCAAGCTAATTACTAGAAAAAGAATTCATTTGAATATCTGTGAGATGATCACATTTGGAGAACCCTGTTAATTAGTGCTTCAGGTGGCACTATTTCTAATTAGGCACTATTCTAAAAATAGGGGGAGAGTCTTTTTTAAAAAGTATGGTACAATTTTGAAGAATTATTTTATTCTCTTCTTTCCGGAAGTCTAATACATAGACAATGTTTCAAATCTCCAGCATTCCAACTGATTAGTGTCATTGCTTTTTCCTCTCAGAGTCTGCAGTGAAATTCAGTGGCATATTTAGGGTAAAAATTCCAAACTTTCATTAAGAACTCAGAACAACAATGACAGAACTTTGTTGTTGCTTTAGCAACCTAATCTTATTTTCCTATGACCAGAAATAACTCTGGCAAAGTAAGGCATCCAGCACCCTTAGTTTGTGAGGGGGCTCTCCAGAGAATGCCTAGATATAGGCCCTACTTGGGCTTCTATGACGAGTTTGTGAAATGTAGATAAAAAATCTATTTAACTATTCAACTCCATGTTTAATATGGATAAGCATTTGATATTTTAGAAATGCTATTGTTAGAGAAAACAAAGACTGAATGGAAACAATAAAGTAAAGCACTTTTGCATAACAGCTGCCAAACGACAAGCCTACCAGGAGTTTTGAGCGCACTTGTTCCAGCTTTCTGCCTAGATTGTGCCCCTCCTTGGGCAGACATGCCTCTTCTCCAGGAACCTGTCTGTGAAACAGATAGGGAAGCTTTCTGCCCTGCCTTCTCGGGGTCTTCAGGAAGTCCAGAGGACACAGTCTTCCACTTGCCACCAGCATCCCCATGGCTGTCAAAATCTTCTTCTGGTTTTTTCAGTTCCTCAGGACTATCCCAGGTCTCGTCTGCGGTGGAGCGTTTCTCTGAATCTGTCTTCAGCTATAAAGACAAATATTACAGAAAAACTTCATGTAGAAAAATTTATAAAGTGTGAATTAAGGCAATGAAATGTACTTTCAGATAATTGGATAAATCCAGAGATTCTATTTTGATCTATCTTCACTTAAATTTTATTAATTTTAGCCACATAATTCCCACTTGCAGATATTAGAGAATGTCAGAATAAGTATGTACAGAAAACACCAATTAAACGCTACAGAAAGGTAGAAATTTTCTATATCAAATGTAGTAAGAAGTAGTAAGACGAGCTAGAACTTAATGATGTAATGTCCATTTTTGATTTATCATTCACACGAGATCCAGTGATGTATTTCAGCGATCATAGAAAATTAATCAAGAACTATCTAAAATTAGACTATGAAAATACTTGTTTGATTTTTAAACAAATATATCAATATTATAAGGAGAGATATGGCAACATAAATCTTTCTGAATTAGATTGTAATCAATTGAATATATATTATATTAAGTATTGATATGTTACTATTATATTATATTAATATAGAATTATATATATTAATATATACATACCATATAACTTGGTGGTGTTATCTATACAAATATAGTAATTCATTATTAATATATTAAATATATAAAATGTATTTATACAATATATAAAATATATCTATATATTGTGTATTTATGTTTTATATTTGTATTTATATATAATATGTAATATAAATATTATAATAATATATACAGATATAAAAATATATTAAGTATATATAAATATATACTTATATATGATATATAATATATTAACAATAAATATATTTGTACAGATAACTATACCACCAGGCTATATGGTACATATATTACATATATATATAACACACACACATATATATATGTAAGCTGCTTCTGTTTATTCAAAATTGGCTGAAGTGCACATTGTTGTTCCTAAGGGTTGTGGCTTTAGGAAAGACTAAGATTAAAGACACTTCGGGGTTCAGGAGTGGCAAAGGGAGTCCCTATTATCTCTGCATTTTTCAATGTCTGTAATAATTTTGGACTAAGAGCTTGTGCTATACCTTAATCTAATATTAAGTAATTTGGGGGAAGAAACTGGCAGAAACACTGGAAAAAGAAAGGCGGTAATTCTCACCTGAGTGTTTTTCCTGGAGGGGACGGTGATGTTGGAGTAGGAGCTGACAGAGGATGTGTTCAGGTCATCAGTGCTGATGTTATCAAGCGTGTCACTGAGACCACTGCTCACTGAACTGCTGTCATCCCAGCTAAAGGCAAGACATGAAAGAGCAGTGAATCAAACACAGGATGCACAACGCAAGTCACCTACATTTCCATACAACCTTCACAATGTATTATTAAGACAATCTTTTTTTTTTTAATCTTATGAAAAGTCATTTACTTCCCATTTTGGGAAAATCATATGTATATGAACAGAGGGTCTACCTGAGAATAACCTTATCTGATATTTAGAAAGAATCAGTGTCTAGAACAGCATCCACATTCCAGAAGAATGTGTATGGAATGAATGAAATCACTGATACAAGTACTGCATGATATCATGAAAGAATAATATTACAGTGGACTTTTTTATCTCTAAAAATTGAACCAGGAATCATAAAGCATGTACAAATTTATTCTTTGTTCTAAAATTCAAAGACCTGTGCTGTAGTCAGAACCAGAAAATCATTAATCATTATTCCTCCTAGCTTAGGAACTACTTTCAATCATTCACAGTCTTATTGGATGAGTCTCATTATTCTTTGATCACCAAGAATATTGAGATTCATTCAATTATAGCATCTCTCCTGCTATCCCTCACATTTCCATCCGTGATAACATACAGTATCCTCTTATCTGGCCTTCATGCTTTTCATCTTTCCCAATAAAACTTTTTCTGCTAACATGGAGTCACTGATCAAAAATTCACATCTGGCCATGTCGCAACCTTGCTCAATATCCTTCAAAGATTTCTCCTTTCCCAAACAGTGGTTACTAAAATGAAATGCCCCTGTGCCACACAGTGCACAAGCAAATCGATCTGAAATATAAGAGAAATAGTTGAAATTCTGAATATAGTCATGTATTACATATTGTACTAACTAACTGTATTGTTACATACTGTATTAACAACAGGGACATGTTTTGAGAAATGCATCATTAGGTGATTTTGTTCACGGTGAGAATGTCATAGAGTGTACTTATACAAACCTAGATGGTATAACTTAACTACACACCTAGGCTATGTGGTATAGCCTGTTGCTCCTAGGCTAGAAATGTGTACAGCATGTTACTGTACTGAATACTGCAGGCAACTCTAACACAATGGTAAGCATTTGTGTATCAAAACATGTCTGAACAAAGAAAAGGTACAGGAAAAGTATGTTATTATAATCTTATGGGACCACAGTAATATATGTGGTCCTTCAATGACCAAATAACTGAAGTGTCATTCTGTGGCACATGACTACATATTTATTTTTAATCTAAAGAAGGATAAATTAAATAGGCTGTATTAATATCACATGGAGGATAACATAGGCACCTTCATTTAGTGAATGCATTAGATTATGCAGAAATAATGTTGAATAAGCAGCATAAGCTGAAGGAAAATGAGAACTCCACAATGAAAAGGTGGACCACAGTTCTCTCACTTACTGGCTGGTTCTCAGCTTATTGTGATGTATAGTCTTTATTAGTAGCATGAGAATAAACTAATACAGTAAATTGGTACCAGGAGTGGGGCACTGCTGTAAAGATACCCTTACCTATGCTCTCTCAAATTAATCCATGCACACTGAATAAACACATTATATACAGACAAAAGCTAAGTCTCATAAAATGGACACATGGATTAAAAAGGCGCCTGTAAATAATCTGTACACTGAAGAGAATATTCTTCATGAAAGCACAAACTACAAAGAAATGGTAAACTGATACTTTGTCTAGTCTTCTATACGTACTTTAAGAGTTACATCATAAGTCCAAAATAATGGTAATGTATTTAGATCACATATGAAGTCAACTAAAATGTAATTATCAGAAAAAAGAGAAAATTAAATTTATAGAATTATTGTTAAGACTGATTCCTCCCTAGGTGTATATTTTGCTTGAAGTTTTAGCTGCTGAGAGCATAATGCATCATAATTACCAATGACATAACTCAGACTATCAATAACAATTATATTTTTAATAAGAGCAAAATGGTATCTTGCACTACTATAGCAAATATCTATCATCTGTGGTTGCTCAAATCTTTTAAAAATCTTCCCCACATCTTAATTTGATAAACTCTCATTCATGACTGACATGGTTTGGCTGTTTTCACACCCAAATCTCTTCTTGAACTGTAGTTCCCATAATCTTCATGAGAGTTCTCATGAGGTCTGATGATTTATAAGGGTTTCTTCTCCCCTTCTGCTCATTCTTCTCCTCCCTGCCACCATGTAAAGAAGGATGTGCTTGTTTCACCTTCCACCATGATTATGTTTCCTGAGGACTCCCCAGCCATGCTGAACTGTGAGTCAATTAAACCTCTTTTCTTTATAAATTACCTAGCTTTGGGTATGTCTTTATTATCAGCATGAGAATAAACTAATATAGTAAATTGGTACCAGGAGTGTGGCATTGCTGTAAAGATACTCAAAAATGTGGAAGTAATTTTGCAACTGGGTAACAGGCAGAAGTTGGAACAACTTGGAGGTCTCAGAAAAAGACAGGAAGATGTGGGAAAGTTTGAAACTTCCTAGAGACTTGTTGAATGGCTTTGACCAATATGCTGATAATGATATGGACAATGAAATCCAGGCTCAGGTGGTCTCAGATGGAAATGAAGAACTTGTTGGGAACTGGAGCAAAGGTGACTCTTGTTATGCTTTAGCAAAGAGACTGGTGGCATTTTGCCCCCGCCCTAGAGATCTGTGGTACTTTGAACTTGAGAGAGATAATTCAGGGTATCTGGTGGAAGACATTTCTGAGCAGCAAAGTGTTCAAGATATGATTTGGGTGCTGTTAAAAGCATTCAGTTTTATGTATCCACAAAGATATGGTTTGGAACTGGAACTTATTTTTAAAGGGGAAGCAGAGCATAAAAGTTTTAAAAATTTGCAACCTGATGATGCAATAGAAAAGAAAAACTCATTTTGTTAGAAGAAATCCAAGCCTGCTGCAGAAATTTACATAAGTAACAATGAGCCCAATATTAAAAGACAATAGGGAAAATGTCTCCAGGGCATGTCAGAGACTTTTGTGGCAACCCTACTCATTGCAGGCTGAGGGAAAAATTGTTTCGTGGGCTGGGTCCAGGGCCCCCCTGCCATATGCAGCATAGGGACTTGGTGCCCTGCAACCCAGTTGCTCCAGCTTTGGCTAACAGGGGCCAAGGTACAGCTAAGGCCATGGCTTCAGAAGGGGAAAGCCCCAAGCTCTGCCAGCTTCCACAGGGTGTTGAGCCTACATTTGCACTGTCAACATTTGAGGTCTGGAAACCTCCACCTACATTCCAGAAGATATAAGTAAATGCTCGGATGTTCAGGCAGAAGTTTGCTGTAGGGGTGGAGCCCTCATGGTGAACCTCTGCTAGGGCAATGTGGAAGGGAAATTGTGGGATCAGAGCCCCCACACAGAGTTCCCACTGGGGTACTGCCTAGTGGAGCTGTGAAATGAAGGTCACCAACCTTCAGGCCACAGAATGGTAGATCCACCTACAGCTTGCACCCATGTCCCTGGAAAAGCTGAAGGCACTCAACACTAGCTTGTAAAAGCAGCCTAGAGGGGGTTCTGTACCCTGCAAAGCCACAGAGGTGGAGCTGCCCAAAGCTGTGGGAGCCCACCTCTTGCATCATCATGTCCTAGGTGTGAGATATGAAATCAAAGGAGATAATTTTGAAACTTTAAGGTTTAATGACTGCCCTATTGGATTTTGGACTTCCGTGAGGCCTGTAGCCCCTTGGTTTTGGCCAATTTCTCTCATTTGGAATGTGTATATTTACCCAATGACTGTACCCCTTTTGTATCTAGGAAGTAGCTAACTTGCTTTCGAATTTACAGGCTCATAGGCAGAAGGGACTTGCCTTGTCTCGGATGAGACTTTGGACTTGGACTTTTGTGTTAATACTGAAATGTGTTAAGACTTTGTGGGGGACTGTTGGAAGGGCATGATTGTGTTTTGAATTGTGAGAACATGAGATTTGGGAGGGGTCAGAGGTAGAATTAAATAGTGTGGCTGTGTTCCCACCCAAATCTCATCTTGAACTGTAGTTCCCATAATCCCCATGTGTTGTGGGAGGGGCCTGGTGGGAGGTAATTGAATAATGGGGGCAGTTACTCTAATTGTGTTCTTGTGAGAGTGAGTTCTCATGGGAATTGATACTTTTATAAGGGGCTTTCCCCCCTTTTACTCATTATCTTTCCTGCTACCATGTGAAGGACATGTGTGCTTCCCCTTCCCCCATGACTATAACTTTCCTGAGGCCTCCCCAGTCATGTTGAATCGTGAGTAAATTAAACCTCTTTCTTTCACATTATATTGTATTTGTATATGTTGAACAAAGATACTGTATGTTGAACAACACATACAGTATCTTTTCACAGGAATATATGCATATAAATTATAAAAACACAAATATACACACTTTGATGACTATTGTCTAAAGTAAAGCTCAGATTCTTTGAAAAGACATATATCAAGAGAATGAGAAGACAACCCACAAACTGGAATTTTTTTCCCCCAAAAGACATATATTTTGGGTGAATAAAGCAACTGAAAACTTGTTTTTTCAATGTGATTATATAATTGTACATTTTTATCACAAAGAATGAGAATTTCAGTTGCTCCATATCCTTGTCAATACTTGGTACTGTCAGTCTCTGTAAAAGCCTATCTAGTAATATCTCCTTACCATTTTATTTTGCATTTCTCTGATGACTAATGATGTTGAATATTGTCACATGTATTTATTAGAAATTTGTATATATTTTTGGTGACATGTACTTTCAAATCCTTAGACCACATATTTATTGGGTTGTCTTAATATTATATTAATTTTTTCTAATTTTTTGGATTTTAGTGAATTTTATTTCATTCTACATGGCATTAACATAAACAAGAAGTGGTTCTTATAGTAGTATTGACTTAATGCCTATCCACCTGAGTTAACATTGTCAGTGAATGATACTGGATTAGTATTTTATTATTTTTATTTGTACAAATTTAAATGTTACATGTATATAGTGCATAGTGATTTTGTTACGTGTATATAATTGCATA